TGTATTTAAAAAGCAAAATTATCGATGCTCCGCCCTCTCGCACAAGCCCCACCTTAATAAATCATTTCATTGGTCCGAAGAAAAGGAAAGGCGTTTACAACCATTGTATCTGATTGTATTCAGTTAACATGATTTTTTACTATTTAAGTATAATTTTTTTATTTTATTTCAATTTCCATTTTACAGTAAATAAAATAAGTCAGTGAAGTGAAGAAAGGAGATGGGAGGGGCTAAGTTTAGCTTTTGCAAAAGTCGCCCTTATCTTAGCAGATTCTAGCCCCGCCCGCCTACCCTCTTTTTTCTTAGAGGGTAGGTCATTTGTGTTGTCATTTTACAGATACTAACCCCGCTCACCCGCCTACTCTTTTCTTAGAAGGATCTCATTTGCCAAAATAAGTCTTATCTTGGCAGGTACTAGCCCCGCCCACCCACCCTCTCTTTTCTTAGAGGGTATGTGATTTGCCAAAATCAGTCTTACCTTAGCAAGTACTAACAAAAAAATTAAAAACTGAAGAAACGAAAAATTGAAAAATCCAAAAAGTGAGAAATTAAAACCTGAAAACTCGAGAAATTGCAAACACAAAAATTGCAAACTCTGAAAGCTGAAACATCCAAAAATTGGAAAATCGAAAAACTGAAAAATTTTGAAATGAAAACTCAAAGAATTGCATATCTTCAAAACGAAAAACAAAAAAAATTAAAAAAATTGCAAATCGAAAAATTGAGGAAAGGAGAAACTGAAAAAATTAAAAATGAAAAAACAAAAAAATAAAATGGAAACCTGAAAAATCGATAAGTGAAAAAATAACGAAAATAAAAAACCGAAAAATTGCACAATATATAAATTGAGAAAATCAAAAGTAGAAAAATTGAAAATTTTAAACTCGAACTCGAAAAACTGCAAATCGAAAAAAAATTGCAGAATTGAAAAATTCAAACAATTGCAGCAATTACTTAAAAAATGCGTGAAAATGTCCGTTTAAAGTAGGCTAAAGCTTTTTCAAATTTATAATTTTTTTTATTCAAAAGCGCACACTAGACGTAAATATGAATTAAGAAGTTCTCTGGAATTAAGTTTGTTAATTCGAAATATATTTTTACGTATTTAAGATAGGACTAAATCAGATTTGGCTGTCAGACCTTGCCCTATCTGGACCCGGTAGCACGCATTTACAGATCAAACACATTGACACACCAAACACCCAACTTATTAAATCTGGTGCCCTCAATCTGGCCCTATTGACAAACCAAGTCCCTTAATCCCACTAAACAAAGTACATTCTAAATAAAATAATCAGCATTTGTTTTCGTCCCCTGTATGACAGCTGCCAGATTACGCCTTCATTCAGACCCAACAAGTGATCCGTGAGGGAAACCGCTCATCGAAACTTTACGAAAACCATATTTAGTTAGCATTCTATTACCAGCCTAGGTACTTATCTTTTAATTAAAAATTTCCCTTGTTTGAATTTAAATTAAACACGAAAGTAAAACTACGACAAGCCTGCGATCATTTCGTGGAAATATTAAGAATAATTCAGTGAACGCGATCCTTTACGCTATCCGAGAGTTTCGGAGGGTTTCATTAACACCCACTTCGGCTCGTTTGCCGCGAAATATGTCAAAAAGTTGCGCTTTAGTAAATGGAAAGCAGCTTGGAAATATTTTGACAGGTTATGTAAATAAAGCGAGGAATTCGTGCGTGTAGTCACCTACGCTGGCGGATTGTATTCGAATAATATAAGTATAATTAACATACTTATATTATTTTTTCTGAAAAGACAATTTTTCAAACTACTTAAATGAAACTAAATTTCATAAAATAAATAAAAAACCAGTGCAAGATTCAAACTTCGTGGAAGCTTAAATTAGAATTCTAATTGTTTCCGCTGTCCTCAGACGACATTAAAAATGAACGCCGAAACTGAAATACCTTAAAACATTTAAATCCAGATCGTGTAGCCATTTTATTAAGCTCCGGTAGCACGAACACCTAAATAATAAATGCGTTATCCTGATAAAGTCGTTAAAACGTTAACCGATATTTTTCGATCTAGCATTATTTCTTAATTTCTGTTTCGCTAAAACCAGGAACAAGTTGACCCAACTCAAGCAAAATTTGAAGGAAAGTTCGCACAGCCTGGATGAAAATTTTCTGATAATTGGGGCGTCGTTACAATAACATCGAACGTTTTATTAGCCGGAGTGGACGTTGTCTCCGGTATAATTGAAGGCGTGTCCTCGAGTTCTTCCCCAAGAAAATTTCCCTTATTTCGTAAAAATGTAGCCCGGTTTGAATAAAATAGTTAACCCTTCGCAAATCTAAATTAATTCCAAATTATTACAATTTCTCTTCGAGTTCCTCTTCAGAATCCACAATTGCGTTATAAATTCTCAGTATAACCCTTGAGATTAACTTGTAACCCTATTTATCTAGCGAAGAGAGCGGCAACATTGAAACGAATCCGGTTTCCGAATAAAATGCATTATTACTCCGTTCGGTACTGCGACAAAGTGTCTAAACAGTTGACTTTATTAATGAATTCAATTTATCCGTGGTGAGTCAACACGAATCCTTACGTTTGCGTCTGCATATAATCAACGGTGTTTGTAATTCGTATATTTGTTCAACCCCAAAAACAATAATTGCCTGTCTTCGAGTGGAAAAATCAAGACGAGTTAAATAAAGCCCTGTGTGTTTATAGCGGTATTTACATAGCTAGTGCCGTAAACGCCACGATAATTTCACTTATTTTTACGAAACAACAAAATATAAAGTTGGCAAACAGCGGTTGAAATTAAAAGAAATTTATAAAAGATGAAGTAAGGTAGCTCGGGGCGGTTGGAGCAAACAAATGAAACGTTAACGAGAGACGAAGTGCATTTGTTTATTAGAATGTTGCTGACGTAAGCTTAATTGATTCGGAAAAGACGTCATTATTATTTATAAATAAGATAAAATTGGTTTGTTTAAACGGAAAATGTTTGCGTGGATGTTACGTTTATGGCCATTACAAGGACCGCTTTATGTCCGTGTTTAACTTTGCATAATACCTTAACGTACGGTATAACAGACGACTTGTGAGAAGCAATCTAAATTTGTTATTTTCCCCGAGGGGAATTAAGGACGTAAACTTCATGACAGTGATCAAATTTTCACGTAACAAATATAATAAAATCGAAATTGTTGGAGATTTTTGTGGATAAATGGTGGAGGCGCCGGGTTTAACAACAATTTTTAAAAAAGTTGGACAAATGGTGGATGCGCCGGGTTTAGAATCTTAAAATTACTGTTTCTACTACTTTAAAAAAATGTATCTATAATGGTAAATAAATTTGCGACGGTACGTTTTGCTTTTAGTTAAAGACGTTTGCACATAAAATGTAGAATGCACTTTAATTAAAAACTGGTGGTTTTTGTGGATTTTTTCGCTCTATTATTATTCAGAGATGAAAGCTTTTTTATTAGATTTTGAACTAAGAACGAGTTTTCGCAATGTTTAAATTAATTTGAGTTTTGAGAGGATCATAAAACTGGAACATAAAAAATAGAAGATTTAGCAAAAGCTTTATTCTATAATTTTGCGAAAAAAAATGTCAACAGAGAACTTTCTCTGATTTTACAAAATAAACTAGCATTTTCGTATTTTCCAAGTTCCGAAACGTCGACAAGGCGTAAATTCGTCGATTCTGTTACATACTTCCATTAGCTAAAGCTCGGATAATCAAAAGACAACTTTTTCGCGATCCTTATTGTGATTCATCAAGAATCCTGTGTGGAGTCGAAATATTAAAAAAAACTAAAATGAAAAAAGTTTCATTCCACATAATAAACGAGTCACAAAATTAAAAAATACATGCAACCAAAATGTAATTTCCTTGTTGTTCTCTTTCAACGCCCACTGAAATTTTCTCAGCGACTGATAAAATATACAAAAAAAAAAGATAAAACCGCCGGGGTTTTTCAACATAATTGAAGTTGACAGAAGTCTACAACGTTTCTAAAAATCGTCGTAGATTTTTTAATTAACCTTTTTTGTAGTTTACAACTATAATTAAAAAATATTTAAAACCCTCTTTTATGCTTTTGTCACAATTGTAAAATAAAAAAAAATTAAATGAGTTTGTTTAACAATAAATTAGCTTTTGAGAAAGCTTGCTGAAATTATCCTTTGTATTTGTTTAATTTAAACAAAGTTCTTAAGTAATTTCACGTTAAAACGTAGTTGTGCTTGTTTATAAAGAACACACTATCTCGATTAATAAATAACATAAACTTTGGTATTATGCTGAGTAATGTACACATTTTTTATTAATTCTATTACAACATCGATTAACTTCAATGGAGCAGCCTAAAGCGATTATCTGTCCATTATGTTCCGAAATTTGGAAATTTGAGCTCATAAAATATAGCCGGAAAGTGAACTTAAAAACACTTTGTGTGGGAAAAACTAATTTGTTATGCTTTCTTAAAAATACAGATTGCGATAGAATTTCCCGAAAATTTCCATTAAAATATTATAATGTTCCCGAGGTATCGCATTTCCAATATACATTTCGTGCGATTAGCGGTGGCTTTTCCGAAATAAAAAATCTTCGTTCGAATTTAGTGAACAATCAAAGCCTTTGAAGCAAAACCCCGTCTAAACTAGTGTCAAAGGATTTAATTAAACCCGATCGATCATTTATGAAAAAATCGTTGAAAATAAATTGAAAACTCAAGGTATTAAAGTGAATTTCGAAGCAGGTCAATAAAGCCTAATCAGGCTTGAAATAACCGCGGAGTGCATAGATGCCGGACTAGAACGAAATATTTATGATCGTGGTTTCCTTTTAATTTATGTTCTTCACGTTTTGTTTTCGCTTAAAATCGTGTTGCATTTAAAACTGCCATTACTGGGTGATGAATTCGCAAAATGACACAGAATTTGTCGAAAAATGGTCGAAAAAGTGCGTTCAACGATTAATTATTAAGCGACAAGTACACAGGCTCTACTTACAAAATTTGTTATCCTCTGGTTCACTCCAGAGCACAACTGGTTGCAGATCAACAGGCGTTTCAGGATGTTGGTGTTGGGGGATACGCTTTATCCTTTCAAGGCGCCTACATATGATGGAGGGGGTTCTGCCACCACCATTGGCCGCTCCCACGATCTCTCTATACCCATGAATAATTACACACAATTTTGATTTATATTTTGGCAAAACTAGCCATTATAAGTTTGTGTTTCGCGTCTTCTTAATTGACCACGACGAAGAACTAACAAGCTCATTAAGGCGGTTTGAGTTTCATGCATGTGTAACACAATTCCCTGCGAAAATCATTTTTATGCGTCAGTCTGGTTTAAGGCGAGAAGTGTTGGGCTTCCTCTTGACAATGTTGTCTCTGGTAAAAAATTGTTTGCGAGGTAATCAAATACGCGGAAGATGGGTTTGAGGGGTTTATGGATGCGTTGGTGGTTGGGGTTGGGTCAATCATTAAACAGACTTAAGAAATTAATTGTGGAATGCAATTTCTTTTGTGCAGTGTGTACACGTAAAAAAGTTCTCGGGGCAAAGCCGACATCCGCTACAAAAGAATTTTCTTTATGAGTTAAGTCTGATTTATGGCGGAGGGCGGCCTTTTGTAGACATTCGGACTGTTAGGTGTTACTACTACTATTAATATCACTAAAGCTAAAACAAGGACGCTAATTAATTAGATTAGACAAAAACGAGGCAAATGTGACGGTGAATTATTTATTTGAGGGTTTTTAATTACGCTGTTTGGAACGATTAAATATTCACCAGACGGTTTATTCTGGATCGTGCATTTTTCATGAATTTTTATGCATTTGTTTTTGTTGCTGAATTCTACGGGTAATGTAAACACGGCTTTGTTTCTTAATAACAATAATTAAGGTATTTTTTTGGATATTTATGGTGGAGGCGCCGGTTTGCCCACACAGTTTCCAACGCTTAGCACAAATAAAAGTTTTATTTCATTTTTGTGTTATTCGTTTTCATTTATATGTATATATTCCGTTCTTTTACAGAATATACAACAGTAAAATACTTAAGATTAAACACAAATTTGTAAATAACTACAACTGTTTTCTCGTTTTTTTTTAGAATTAAATAAAATACGGCAACGCATAAAAAATGGATGATTTCCAAGAGAGATTTAAATAAACATTAAGAGCAACAAATATTAAATGAAATGCAAATTATATTCCAATTAAACAAAAATACAAGGAAAAATTCAGCGTGGCTTTTTGAGAGAATAAAATTCTTTTGAACAATGCTCGCAACTATGCTGTTGTGTAAAGTGAGCATATTTTAATAGTCAAAAATAAAAAAAAAAACTATTTTATATAAGGAATAGTTAAAGTTTACTTTTCCGATCTTTTAATTTTCATTTTCTCGATTTTATCTCACAATTTTTCGTTTTTTCATTTCCTTAATTTTCTCAAAGTTTCTTTGGATTTTATAATTTTTCGTCTATACACTTCCTCAATTTTTCAATTTTTAAATTTTTCAATTCTGCAAGTTTTGGATTTCCAATTATCCGATTTTCTGATTTCTATAATTTTCAATATTTCGATTTTTACAACACATATTTCACTTTTACGATTTTGAAGTTTCTCAATTTTTAATCTTTCGACTTTTGAATTTTTCGTTTCTTCAATTTTTCAAGTTCTTGATCCCCAATTTTTAAAATTTTCAAAGTTTTCGTCTTATACTTTTTCGTGTTTTCACTTTCAAATTTTCAATTTTAGAATATTGCAATTTTTCCATTTTTTTGAATCGAAAAGTGGGAAAATCGAAAAATTAAAAATCGAAAAAAAATAGCAACAGCAAAAAAGTGGAAATTCGAAAAATTTAAAATCAAAGGAATGAAGAAACGAAAAATTGAAACAAAACTAAAAGTCGTGAAACTTAAAAATCGAAAAAATGAATGAATCGACAAATTGGAAAGAAGAAAAAACGAGTAGAATCGAGTAATCGCAAAATCAAAAAATTATAAAATAAAAAATTTTAGAATCGCCAAAATTGTAACATTGAACGATCGAAAAATTGCAAACTTTTATTCATTATAATTATTTAAAAAACCTAAAAATTGAAACATAAAGAAACAAAAGACATAAAAAATTGAAATATCCAAAATTTAAAAATAAATACTCCAAGAATTACGTATCGTAAAACTGAAGAAACAAAAAAAAATAAAAAATTGCAAATCGAAAATCTGAAGAAACGATAAATTGAGGAAACGAAAAATTGAAGATACCAAAAAGTTGAAGAGATGAAAAACTGAATTAACCAAGAATTAAAACATGGAAAAATTCCAAAATCGTAAAATTGAAAAAGTGAAATATTTCAAAATTTATTACTATTATTACATATTTAAAAACAGGAAAAATTGATATTGTCAAAAATTTAAGAAACGAAATACTAAAAACTCATGAAACTGAGCCATCTAAAATCGAAAAAACGAAAAATTAAAAATCAAATGGCCATCAGTTCATAGATTATGTTAATCACGGATTTAATGAGGCGTTTAGAAATCGAAGAATCTCAAGAATCTCAAAAGCCCTAAGAAATGCAAGAAACTCAAGAACGTCGAAAATTCCAGGAATCCCAAGGATTCAAAGAAATCCAAGAAATCCAAGAAATACAAAAAATCCAAGAAATTCAAGAAATCCAAAAAATTCAAGAGGTCCAAGAAATCCAAGAAATTGCAGAAAACCAAGAAATCTAAGAAATCCAAGAAACACAAGACATACAAGGAATTCAAGAAATCCAAAAAAAAATAAATCCAAAAAATCCAAGAAATCCAAGAAATCCAAGAAATCCAAGAAATGCAAGAAATCCAAGAAATCCAAGAAATCCAAGAAAGCCAAGAAATCCGAGAAATCCACTAAATCCAAGAAATCCAAGAAATCCAAGAAATCGAAGAAATTGCAGAAAACCAAGGAATCCAAAAAATTCAAAAATCCAAGAAATCCAAGAAATAAAAAAAAATCCAAGAAATCGAAGAAATCGAAGAAATCCAAGAAATCCACGAAATCCACGAAATCCAAGAAATCCAAAAATGGAAGAACTCGAAGAAATTGAAGAAATCCAAAAAATCCAAGAGATCCAAGAAATACAAGAAATCGAAGAAATCGAAGAAATCAAGGAAATCCAAACAATCGAAGAAATCCAAGAAGTCCAAGAAATCCAAGACATCCATGAAGTCCAAGAAATCCAAGGAATCCAAAAAATTGCAGAAAACCAAGAAATCCAAAAAATTCAAGAAATGCAAGAAATACAAGAAATACAAGAAATACAAGAAATACAAAAATGCAAGAAATCCAAGAAATCCAAGAAATTGCAGAAAACCAAGAAATCTAAGAAATCCAAGAAACACAAGACATACAAGGAATTCAAGAAATCCAAAAAAAAATAAATCCAAAAAATCCAAGAAATCCAAGAAATCCAAGAAATCCAAGAAATCGAAGAAATTGCAGAAAACCAAGGAATCCAAAAAATTCAAAAATCCAAGAAATCCAAGAAATAAAAAAAATCCAAGAAATCGAAGAAATCGAAGAAATCCAAGAAATCCACGAAATCCACGAAATCCAAGAAATCCAAAAATGGAAGAACTCGAAGAAATTGAAGAAATCCAAAAAATCCAAGAGATCCAAGAAATACAAGAAATCGAAGAAATCGAAGAAATCAAGGAAATCCAAACAATCGAAGAAATCCAAGAAGTCCAAGAAATCCAAGACATCCATGAAGTCCAAGAAATCCAAGGAATCCAAAAAATTGCAGAAAACCAAGAAATCCAAAAAATTCAAGAAATCCAAGAGATTGCAGAAAACCAAGAAATCCAAAAAATTCAAGAAATCCAAAAAATCCAAGAAATACAAGAAATCGAAAAAATCGAACAAATCGAAGAAATCGAAGAAATCAAGGAAATCCAAACAATCGAAGAAATCCAAGAAGTCCAAGAAATCCAAGACATCCATGAAGTCCAAGAAATCCAAGGAATCCAAAAAATTGCAGAAAACCAAGGAATCCAAAAAATTCAAGAAATCCAAGAGATTCCAGAAAACCAAGAAACCCAAAAAATTCAAGAAATCCAAAAAATCCAAGAAATACAAGAAATCGAAAAAATCGAAGAAATCGAAGAAATCAAGGAAATCCAAACAATCGAAGAAATCCAAGAAATCCATGAAGTCCAAGAAATCCAAGGAATCCAAAAAATTGCAGAAAACCAAGAAATCCAAAAATTTCAAGAAATCCAAGAAATTCAAGAAATCCAAGAAATCCAAGAAATCCAAGAAATGCAAGAAATCCAAGACATCCAAGAAATCCAAGAAAGCCAAGAAATCCAAGAAATCCACGACATCCAAGAAATCCAAGAAATCGAAGAAATTGCAGAAAACCAAGGAATCCAAAAAATTCAAGAAATCCAAGAAATCCAAGAAATAAAAAAAATCCAAGAAATCGAAGAAATCGAAGAAATCCAAGAAATCCACGAAATCCACAAAATCCAATAGATCCAAGAAATCCAAGAAATTACAAAAAACAAGAAATTCACAAAATTCAAGAAATTAAGAAATCCAACAAATACAAGAAATACAGGGTATCCAAGAGATCCAAGAAATCCAAGAAATCCAAGAAATTGCAGAAAACCAAGAAATTCAAAAAATTCAAAAAATTCAAGAAATCCAAAAAATACAAGAAATACAAGAAATCGAAGAAATCAAGGAAATCCAAAAAATCGAAGAAATCCAAGAAGTCCAAGAAATCCAAGACATCCATGAAGTCCAAGAAATCCAAGGAATCCAAAAAATTGCAGAAAACCAAGAAATCCAAAAAATTCAAGAAATCCAAGAAATACAAGAAATACAAGAAATACAAGAAATGCAAGAAATCCAAGAAATCGAAGAAATTGCAGAAAACCAAGGAATCCAAAAAATTCAAGAAATCCAAGAGATTCCAGAAAACCAAGAAATCCAAAAAATTCAAGAAATCCAAAAAATCCAAGAAATACAAGAAATCGAAAAAATCGAAGAAATCGAAGAAATCGAAGAAATCAAGGAAATCCAAACAATCGAAGAAATTCAAGAAGTCCAAGAAATCCAAGAAATCCATGAAGTCCAAGAAATCCAAGGAATCCAAAAAATTGCAGAAAACCAAGAAATCCAAAAATTTCAAGAAATCCAAGAAATACAAGAAATACAAGAAATACAAGAAATGCAAGAAATCCAAGAAATCGAAGAAATTTCAGAAAACCAAGGAATCCAAAAAATTCAAAAAATCCAAGAGATTCCAGAAAACCAAGAAACCCAAAAAATTCAAAAAAGCCAAAAAATCCAAGAAATACAAGAAATCGAAAAAATCGAAGAAATCGAAGAAATCAAGGAAATCCAAACAATCGAAGAAATCCAAGAAGTCCAAGAAATCCAAGAAATCCATGAAGTCCAAGAAATCCAAGGAATCCAGAAAATTGCAGAAAACCAAGAAATCCAAAAATTTAAAGAAATCCAAGAAATACAAGAAATACAAGAAAGCCAAGAAATCCAAGAAATCCACGACATCCAAGAAATCGAAGAAATTGCAGAAAACCAAGGAATCCAAAAAATTCAAGAAATCCAAGAAATCCAAGAAATAAAAAAAATCCAAGAAATCGAAGAAATCGAAGAAATCCAAGAAATCCACGAAATCCACAAAATCCAAGAGATCCAAGAAATCCAAGAACTTGCAAAAAACAAGAAATTCACAAAATTCAAGAAATTAAGAAATCCAACAAATACAAGAAATACAAGGAATCCAAGAGATCCAAGAAATCCAAGAAATCCAAGAAATTGCAGAAAACCAAGAAATCCAAAAAATTCAAAAAATTCAAGAAATCCAAAAAATACAAGAAATACAAGAAATCGAAGAAATCGAAGAAATCAAGGAAATCCAAACAATCGAAGAAATCCAAGAAGTCCAAGAAATCCAAGACATCCATGAAGTCCAAGAAATCCAAGGAATCCAAAAAATTGCAGAAAACCAAGAAATCCAAAAAAATCAAGAAATCCAAGAAATACAAGAAATACAAGAAATACAAGAAATGCAAGAAATCCAAGAAATCCAAGAAATTGCAGAAAACCAAGAAATCCAAAAAATTCAAAAAATTCAAGAAATCCAAAAAATACAAGAAATACAAGAAATCGAAGAAATCGAAGAAATCAAGGAAATCCAAAAAATCGAAGAAATACAAGGACTCCAAGAAATCCAAGAAATTGCAGAAAACCAAGAAATCCAAAAAATTCAAAAAATTCAAGAAATCCAAAAAATACAAGAAATCCAAGTAATCCAAAAAATTGCAGAAAACCAAGAAATCAAAAAAATTCAAGAAATCCAAGAAATCCAAGAAATACAAGAAATCCAAGAAATGCAATAAATCTAAGAAATCGAAGAAATTGCAGAAAACCAAGGAAACCAAAAAATTCAAGAAATCCACGAAAACCAAGAAGTTGCAGAAAACCAAGAAATCCAAAAAATTCAAGAAATCCACGAAATCCACGAAATCCAAGAAATCCAAGAAATCGAAGAACTCGAAGAACTCGAAGAAATTGAAGAAATCCAAAAAATCCAAGAGATCCAAGAAACTCGGGAAATTGCAAAAAAACAAGAAATTCAAAAAATTCAAGAAATCTAAGAAATCCAACAAATACAAGAAATACAAGGAATCCAAGAAATCCAAGAAATTGCAGAAAACCAAGAAATCAAAAAAATTCAAGAAATCCAAAGAATCCAAGAAATACAAGAAATCCAAGAAATTCAAGAAATCCAAGAAATAGAAGAAATTGCCGAAAACCAAGGAATCCAAAAAATTCAAGAAACCCAAGAAATCCAAGAAATAAAAGAAATCGAAGAAATCGAAGAAATCCAAGAAATCCAAGAAATCATTTTTGTGTTACTGGTTTTCATTTATATGTGCACATTCTGTACCTTTGTAATTGTAATCGAGTCTGTCGGCCGACTCTCTAATTTTAAGTTTTCTTAACGTTTTATGACCCCTAGAGTACGAAGAAATAGGTACCCCGTTTTCGTCTCACTGTCCGTCTGTCTGTCCGTCCGTCTGTCCGCCTGTCTGTCTGTCTGTCTGTCTACGGCCAAGGTTTTTATTGGACAGAAAACGCTGGATCCCCAATTTTTAGAATTGTCAAGGTTTTCATCTTACACTTTTTCGTGTTTTCACTTTCAAATTTTCAATTCCATTTTTTTTAATCGAAAGGCGGCAAAATCGAAAATTGAAAAATCGAAAAATTAAAAATCGAAAAAGCAAAAAATCGGGAAACTTAAAAATAGAAAAAATTAATGAATCGACAAATTGGAAAGAAGAAAAAACGAGTAGAATCAAATAATCGAAAAACCAAAAAATTGTAAAATATAAAATTTTAGAATCGTCAAAACTGTCGAAAAACTGTAACATTGAAAGATCGAAAAATTGCAAAATTAAATATGGAGAAACTGTAAAACCAAAAATTGAAAAATTGAAAAATTGGAAAATCGAATAACTCAAAAAGTTTTAAAATCCAGTTATTGAAAAATGGAAAACTTTGAATCATTATAATTATTTAAAAAACCCTAAAAATTGAAACATAAAGAAAATAAAAAACCGAAATAAAAATTCAAAAATTTCACATTGAATAAAAGAAATCGTGTGAAATCAGACCGTAGAAAAACCGAAAAATTGAATAACAAAGAAAATAAAAAAACGAAAAATTCAAATTTCCAGAATTTGGAAAATCGAAAAATTTAAAAACAAATGAAAAATGAAAAGTCATGAAACTGAACCATCTAAAATTAAAAAAACGAAAAATTAAAAATCAAAGGGCCATTTCATAGAATTTTTTAACCCAGATTATGTTAATAACGGATTTAAAGAGGGGTTTAGAAATCGAAGAAATCGAAAAATTGAAGAATCTCAAGAATCTAAAGACTCTCATGATTCTCAAGAATCTCAAAAACCCCAAGAAATTCAAGAATCTCGAGAACCTCCAAAATTCCAGGAATCCGAAGAATTCAAAGAAATCCAAAAAATCCAACAAATCCACGAAATCCACGAAATCCAAGAAATTCAAGAAATTTAAGAAATCCAAGAAATCCTAGAAATCCAAGAAATCCAAGAAATCCAAGAAATCAAAAAAATCCAAGAAATTCAAGAAATCGAAGAACTAGAAGAAATCGAAAAAATCGAAGAAATCGAAAAAATCCAAGAAATCCGAGTAATCTAAGAAATCCAAGAAATCCAAGAAATAATGTTTATGTTATATAATTTATATGTACACATTCCATCCCGTTTTACTTCCCGAGCGTAAGCGAAGGAAGTATTGTAATCGACTCCGTCGGCCGACTCTCTAATTTTAAGTTTTCTCGACGTTTCATGACCCCTAGAGTACGAAGAAATAGGTCTCCCCTTTTCGTCTCTCTGTCCGTCTGTCTGTCCGTCCGTCTATCTCTCTGTCTGCCGCCCAGATTTTTATTAGACAGATAATCTCCGAAAGTACTGGGGCGATTTTTTTCAAATTTTGTATTTATATTAGGAATATCATGTAGATGATAAAATGCTAACCAAAATTTGTCTAGTCATCCCCACCAATAATGTGATGACGTCACTTCAAAATTGTACATACTAAATGGGTTTTAAATTGTATAAAATAACCTAGTCCTACACATGTAATCTATGACTCTGGAGTTGGGCGTGCCTAAATTTAGTTTTTCCTAATTTTATGAGCAAGCATTAGTACCGCCCACCCACCCTTTTTTTAGAGGATATGTCATATGTCAAGAATTATTAAAAAATACACTATTTTCTTAACGCTAGTTGAAGTTCTTGAAAAGCTGCGGCCTGTTTATTCCCATTTGGGTTGAAGTTCAAAACGCCCGGATGCCATTTGCGAATCAATACCCATATGTACAGAGATTTTCGCGCAGTTTTTGCACTTATTATTTATTGTATACATATATTGACCGATCTGCGGCATGTGCCATACTCCCGGACTTTACTTTTGTTCGGTCCGATTTAACAACCACCCGGTTTGAAATAACAACTTTCGGTAATATAAAGCGCTGCAAGCAAGTGTTTTACCTAGTTTGAAAAGTTCAACCATTTGCACTTGATTTAAATAACACTTTGGCCGATTTAGTTTCTGCGTCTGACGCGATAACTAAAACCTTTATTGTCGGTAGGTACGAATTTCAGGAGTTTATGCGGCTACATATTTCTGTCAGAGTTCGTGCAGATGGAAACTTAATAAATAACGCGATTGTATTTTTGTACAACAAAACAACCGAAAAAACAAAATCGACGTTGACACTTCGTGAAATTATTTTGTCTCAGGAAATATTTTTCAAATACGGAATGATGATCGTTGTTGCGGGCATGCTCGCAGTGATGTTGAATATGGTAAATTCAAAAGGAAGCATTTCCGTTACAGAGAACGAATTGAAAATGTTACACAACTCGAAACTGATTTTCTTTCCGAATGAAAAAGTTCCAGATAGGTTTGATGCTCGCCAAAAGTGGCCAGAATGCACTTCTATTGGACGTATCTTGAACGAGGGTGAATGCGACATGAACTGGGTGAGTCAACGCGAAACTGTAAAGACTCTAGTTGATGCCAAAAACGCTAGAAAAAAATTTGTAGGCCATTGTTTTGACGGAGACTTTAAGCAACAGATTGTGTATAAGGAGGGGAAAGGAAAACGCGTTTGACTATTCAGCGGTGGATTTATTTACGTGCTGCAAAGAATGTGCCATAGAGGATCGGTGTACCGGTCGATGGAATCTAACCAAAGCCTTAGAATTTTTGGAAAAAACCGGTGTTGTGTCTGGTGGTTCAAACGTACCAAACACGACTTCCAACAACCACAAAGTAAAAGTGTGTTCTTTCAGGGCTGCAAACCTTTTTTACCGAACTTGATAGCCAGAAGCGAAATTAACATTTGCAGAAAACTGTGTACAGATGGAGACTACAGCAGGTCTCTCAAAGCATCCAAGAAATTTATGAGGAGTTTTAAGTTTCGCTTCAATTTCACAGATTCATATTCAGATGATATTCAAGCCGAAATTATGACAAATGGGCCAATTGTGACATGTATCAAATCTAGTGACACATTTAGAAATTACAGGAACGGTTACAAACAGTTTAATGCAGTTTGGAATCGCAATCAATCTATTGAATATTTGTAGGAATTTATGAACCTGACGACACTGAAGATTTAACAAATTCGTCTCAACACTGCGTCAAAATAATTGGCTGGGGGAAGGACAATGGGCGTTCATTTTGGCAGGTCGCTAATTCGTGGGGCCAAACTTGGGGGGAACAAGGATATTTTAAGTTTCCTCAAAACGATACTCATCTAGGATTTGGAACACTCGCTATTGCTCCAGTTCCACAGAGTTATACTTGTGGGGACTTTTCTGATTTCGGCCAGTGCGGGTACGATCACCACGCTCCTCAGTGCAAAATTTCAGTGTACGCAGTTTTCTCACTTCTCCTAGTGTGTACTTTACTTTAAATTTATGTTCAGACTAGTACAAATAAACGCAGATGTTGTCAAAATTTTTGTCCAGTGAACTTTGGTAAAAAAACACTCCAAATTGACATTTTATTAAATTTCTCTCGAATAATAACATTTCAAGAAACCGATGTTAATGATCCTTGTCTCCGGCATTTTTGCAGCGTTGTTCTTGAATGTGCAGTCATTTAATAAATTTGGAGGAGCTATTTGCTTGAAAGAGAACCAACTGAAGGCGCTGACCAACGCAACACCAATTTCCTTTTCAGATCAAAATGTTCCTGAGAGCTTTGACACGCACGATCATTGGCCAAAATGTCGATTAGTTAGACGTGTCATTACCAACTCAGGATCATGAGATTCGTCTTGGGTGAGTTAATCCATCGTAATCACAAGATTGTGCTTCTACTTTAAAATGTTCCTTTTGTACTTATAAATTTATGTTCAGACCAGCAAAAACAAACGTGTTGTCAAAATATTCTGACATGTGTGCAAAATTTTTGTTAAAAAGATTCAAGTGAACTTTGGCAACTTGGCGATGGATCCAAGTAGGTAAAAAAACAAACTCCAAATTGACTGTTTATTAAATTTCTTCGAACTGAATAACATTTCAAAAAAACGATGTTAATGATCCTTGTCTCCGGTATTTTAGCAGCGTTGTTCTTGAATGTGCGGTCATTTAATACAGCTGGAGGAGTTATTTGCTTGAAAGAGCACCAACTGAACGAGCTGGCCAACGCAACACCAATTTCCTTTTCAGATTTTCGAAATATTCCTGAGTACTTTGACGGTGGGCGTGAATGGAAACACTGTCCATCCATTGCACGTGTCGCCCGCAACTTAGAACCATGTGACGCGTCTTGGGTGAGTTATCCATCGTAATCGCAGGATTGCACTTTTTTTTCGTTGCAGGCATATGTTTTAGCAGAAACTTTAACCGATAGATGGTGCATCATGACAAAGGACGAAAAGAAAAAATTTCAGTTTTCAGGAAACGATTTATTTGAGTGCTGTCCGGACTGTTTTATTGGACGTTATTGTAACAGTGGAGCACATTTAGTCAAAGCATTACGCTATTTACAAAAAACAGGTGTTACTACTGGTGCAGAGAATGTAGGCAACACATCATTTCTAACTCCCATGCAATGAAATTTTACTCTTTTAGCGCACCGGCTGTAAACCCATTATGCCAGCCCTCTCGAAGAAAGATGTGTTGGCTAAAGAATTTTGTCATAGATTTTGTCGCATATGTTATAAAAGGGCCTCTTATAAAAACGACAAGAAATTTATGACCAGTCTCAAATACCTTTTTAATTTCGTAGGATCATCAGCGGATAATCTTAAAAAGGAAATTATGACTAATGGTCCAGTAATAACATGCATGAAAGTTAGTGAAAACTTGCTACGCTATGTGAATGGTTATAATTTTGCTTAAGTTTGTAACGAAAATCTGTCTATTTTCTTGTAGGGGTGTACGTACCTGCAGAAAACGAAACTATAATAGGTAATCTTGAACACTGCGTCAAAATAATGGGCTGGGGGGTCGAGCTTAATGACGTTCCATTTTGGTGGGTTGTTAATAGTTGGGGTCTTCTTTGGGGAGAAGATGGAAAATTCAAGTTTCCACAAAACAGCACTAAGCTAGGATTTGGCGGAGTTGCTATAGCGCCTATGCCGAAGCCTGACATGGACTGGCCCGATGGCGATGGCGTCCTCTCTTCTGAATGCAATATTTCACTGAACACCATTTTTTCACTTGTAATAATTTATATTTTACATTAAAATTTGATTAACTTGTCGTGAAACTATTTAACATCCAAATTAAATAGGAGTATTCCACAGTTCAAGAAAGGTTTGGCACAGACTTGATCAAAGTATGTGGAAAAACAAAATCCAAAAAACGTTGTCATAATTTCTCTCGCATAAAAATATTAGAAAATGATGATCCTTGATCCTTGTCCAGGCATATTCTTGAATATTGTGCAACCAAAAGATCAATCTGGAGGAGTTATTTCCTTGAAAAGGAACCAAGTGGACGAGGTGGCCAACTCAACACCAGTTTCCTTTTCAGATCAAAAAGTTCCTGAAAGCTTTGATGAATCTATCCAGTTCCTTATAGGAGTTTATGTTCCTGACGAAAATGAAAAAATAGTACTGTTGAACACTGCGACAAAATAATTGGAGGAGCTAGCGCCTATCCAAAGGATTATCAATAATTTTTTCCATTGTATTAATTTATATGTATTTTCCATTAAAATTTTATTAGCTGATGAATTTGTAAGTGATCACAGAACAAAAATGGCAAACTCAAATTCTATAATTTGCTATCTATGCTCCATCTATTAGTTTCAAGTCTTTGGTTTTGACATGTTTTGACGTTTGAGCACATAACCTCAAAAAAAATGAGCCAAAATAACGAGAAATACGAGAATACCCCCGGAAGACAAGCAATGGCAGTGATGAAAGACATCAACAAGGAAATCATTTTCAAGAAACCGATCGGAGCACCTCGAAAAAGGCACAAAGAAAAAGTCCTTGACGAAGATACGTATGTGGAGGTAAGTGGTGTGTTGCGAAGAAGCCCCCAAGCTGTCTTTATTTGTGTTCTAGGAGATTGGTAAAATTATCCAGAGAGACTTCTTTCCAGATCTGGAGAAGCTCAAGGCCCAGAATGAGTACTTGGATGCCATGGAACGAAACGACATGACTAAAATGAGGGAATTGTATATGAAGTATAGTGGGAACAGGCCCCCAACTCAGAGGAGTAAGTTTGTTATTGTGGTTAAGGTGGAATCTAATTCAACTTAATATTAATAATTTATTGAAACAAATTTTTGGGTTGACAATTCTGAACTATTGGCAACAATGTTGACATGTCAGTTTATAGTTGTCAAATTTTAAATGTGTTGTCAACCTAACAAAAAAAAATCACGAACATTCATAGTCACTATTTTTTAATTTTAATCTTTAATTTTAGTCCCCAGCCCTGCAACATTCGAAACCCCCGCAAACATCCACAACTCTCAAGTCCGCGAAGAACCCCCCACCGAGCCAGCCGAAAAACCCGAACCCAAGGTGAGCCTAGACCAGTTCTTGAACGTCCACACCAGCGAAGACAACCGAAGTTTCTGCGAGATCTTAGCCGAATCCGAGAAGCGACACCAAGAAAAATACTCCTACTTGTACAACGAAGAAGACAAAAGCGAAGAAGATAGACTCTCCCAGTTGGCGTTGCCATCCGTCGAGCAACAAGCAGCCCTCCCGGAGAAAAAACTCAACGTAGACACCTGGAGCTACAAGAACAAGAACTACATCATGTACATTCCAGACGGAGTTCCTTTAACCCAAGAACAGGAAATCGAGCTCAACAAGAAGAAACAGGAAGTCGTCCACGCCAACACCAGACTCACGATTAACCCTTTCAACGAAAACCAGAGCAAAGAGGCTATAAACGAGTTAGCGAAGACGCAGGCGAAAGTCTTGGACGGGAAGATCGGCGTGGACGGAAAAGAGCTAATGAAGAGCGACTCTCCGAAAATTCGGGGGTTCGGGTTCATTAAGACCCCGTCGCCCCACCCGGGGGTGACCGACACCCCGTTGATGACGTGGGGCGAGATCGAAGGCACCCCGTTCCGTCTGGACGGCAGCGACACCCCTCTGCCGCGCTCGCAAGGCCCGTCGTTCAAAATGGCGGAGCCGCCCAGACGCGAGCAATTGGCCTTAGCTCTGGCCGAGAAGGTGGGCGAGAAGAACAGAGACAGGAAGCAGAAAGCGATCGACGCGGCGAGGAGGAGGTTCGCCACGCCGTCGCCTCGGGCTTTGAATTCCGCGGAGCGGCTGGCGACGATGTCGCCGGCGGCGAGGCGCCTGGCGACGTCGAAGTTGGGGTTAGGGACAGACTTGGGGCTGTCGTATTCGCCGAGTCCGAGGGCGAAGACGCCGAGCACGCCCAAGAGGGTGGTAACTCCGAAGCTAAATCTGGGGATAAGGAAGGTGGACGATAATCTGACGGATGATCTGCTGAAGATTAACGTACCCAAGAGACAAAAAGCGGCAGATTTTTTTTAGAAATGTATATAATATAGTGTGCATAAGTTAAAATAAAAAATTTGATTTGATTTTTTTTTTTTTGGATACGTAAATCACAATAGTAGGAACGCGCGACTGACGTCAAACGTCAAATTTGAAACTGAAACTGACGGTTTGTCAGTGGTGCCAATCTACAAACTAAATATTTGGCCTGCTGAGGTATCAAACATTATTTATTTATTTTGAATGCTGTCTGTAGATTTAGGGTGTTTAATTTTGTTCAAAACAATGTGGCTGGAGGGAACAAAACAAGTGGAAGCCGGCCCTGCAAAGCGCGATGTCAAAAGTTCGAAAAATGTTTATAAACATTAAAGTCATCACGTTAAAACAATTTTCAAGTGAAGTAAAATGTGTTTTTTATCGACGAAATCAAACAAAGTGGTGCCTTTTGTTTTTGACAATGCGACAATTTTTGGTTAGAATTCGGTTGCGTAATTAACCTCAACCAAGCCTGCGTGGTGTCAACTCAACGTCTAACAATTAGTGCATCGATGTGTTTGATTAATCTAAAAAATCGGACGTTTTTGAAGTTCGCGCGCGCACGTTGGGACTTTGCAGCCCGTAAAAAACTAGTAAACAGTCGATTGTCAAGTATGGCGGAGTTTGTTTGAAATATGTGAAGCCACCGAGATAATTTTACCTTTTTGGTATTTTTACCATTTTAAAACATGTTAAACCAGGTTTCAGTGGAAGCTGTGTATTCTGCTACCTACGTGGAGAATTATCTGGATTGCGTCGAAAATCTTCCCGATGAACTGCAGCGTCTAATCTCCAGAATGAGGGAACTCGACGTCTGTTACTTAGGTAAACTCGTCCCGATTTTTACACAAAAAAGCCACCAAGGGGGCCGTTTCAGCTCGCGTCAGGGAGGCCGCATATCAGACCGAAAGCTGGAAGAGGATAGGCAACGACAACCCCGCGAAAAAGGCCAGGGGCTTCGCCCGAATGCAGCAGGCGTTGATTGCGGCCCAGGAGCTCGGCGACGAGAAAATGAGCCTGCTTCAGTCGATCCTCGACAAAATTGAAATAAAAACCCGGCTGTTAGATCAAGATTTTAAAAATCTAGGTACGTTGGTCGCGATTCTAACCTCAAAGCGCTGGCAGGGCACACCTTCCAGCCACCACAAAAATCCATACAGGAGCTGCCAGAACGCGGTGGGCTTAGTTTATTGAGTAAGAGGGTTAGAAATAAATCCATAACATTTATCCAATATCAATCCTAATTACACTTGTGCAGTGTGGTAATTTTTTATTATAACAAAGGGGTCTCCGAAACAGTCGCAAATGCAGTGGAAAAAATATGAGAATTTATTCAGATTAATCATACCAAATTTCTGTCAGTTCTAAAGCTTTCGTTAAAAAAATTAAATTACGCAATTTTGGACTAATTTTAAAAATTAAACTTTATTGAAGTGCAAGCCTTAAATTCCACAACAAAAAACTAAGCTTAATGTAGTGCAATAGGATGACAGCGTAGCTACTGAAACACGCCAACCTTGTGAGTTTTTTTGTTTTTAAATAGATTTTTTAAATTTTGGTAATGGTTAAATTAAAAATCAATTAATTTTATCATCAAGTGTATATTTTTGCTCTAATGTATAAAACGAAAAGTCAGAGGTTATGACGTCATTGAACATCGGTTTTGCTTGTAGAAGTATTAGTATCTATCTCCAAATGAGGTCATATAAAAAACGAGGGTGTTATCAATGTTGATGGTTCTTGTGATCATTTTGTAACGTCACAACTGATCAATTTTTCTACAACCGAAATTTAAACTAAGAAACATTTCTTTGTTAAAACTTGATGCTACCCAAAAGTAGGTGTTTTTTCCAGTAAAATGTGGAGGCTGTTCAATAAGTGGCTCCAGAGGGAGAAGAAAATATGTTCAAACAAGATGGGGCCACTCCTCAAGTATTTGCTAAAGCCTGATTCTTCTCTTAAGGCTCATTGCTAGTGAAAAGTAGGTTTGTTGTTTTTCCGCAGTAAAATTTGGAGGCTGTTCCGTAAATAGCTCCAGAGGGAGAAGGCAGTCTTCAAACAAGATGAGACCACTCCTTATACGGTAAGGCAAACGATTCTATAAGGATGATGTATTTCTGTGGTTATTTCATCTTCTGACAAATTGTGGGATGTCAGATTGATTTCTCTGAGGGTAAATTGGCTATTACGTCCCTGTTTTAACCAATCAACACGTCAGTGAAGGGCTTAGTGCGAGAATTATTCAAATTTTTATGTTTATTTGATTGTAAATATCAGAGGTAAGTTGAAATCTGAGACACCTGTATGTTATTAAAAAAGAAAATGAGGGACTAGTTAACTTAAATAATTTACCACACTCGCCTGCAGCTCGTGTAGACACTTTATTCTTTCCAGTATGTAAAATAAGCCCGTCTTCTGTAGTATTTTTCCACTAATGTGCTAGATGTTGCAGATTTTGGTAAGGAAGAGTCAACGCAAATTGAAAACAAAGAACAGCAACCACCAACAAATAACACCAGTAATAATACTACGTTAACGAACAATGAGAGACCACCTAAGAGGGCGAGGCGCACTAGACATGACACCTTCTCTGGCTTAGAATCCAACCATAACGACGCCGCCCCCGTGGAGCACGTGTCGCGGAGCCAAGTGCCGTCGTCGACGAACACGACTTCGAGTCAGAAGAAAACTAGTACCGGCAAGAAGAAAAAGCGCAAATCTCGGCAGGTCCAGGCCCAGAGGGAAGAATCTCCACCTAGGGAGGAAGAACCCGTGATCGATCCCGACGAACCCACTTACTGTTTATGTGATCAAATTTCTTATGGTGAAATGATTATGTGCGACAACGATCTGTGTCCCATTGAATGGTTCCACTTTTCTTGCGTTACGCTAACCACGAAACCGAAAGGTAAATGGTATTGTCCAAAGTGTCGCGGTGATAGGCCCAACGTTATGAAGCCCAAGGCGCAGTTTTTAAGAGAACTCGAAAAGTATAATAAGGATAAAGAAGAAAAAACATAATTTATATATTTTATTATGGTGTGTATTTTTTTTCTTACCGTTTTGACATAGCAAGTAAATATAATTTGATAGAAAGTTTTAAAATATGAATAAATATGTCTAACATGAGCGAGCTCGTCAATTTTGTACTATCTCTGCCGATTTCGAAAATATGGCAACGCGTTCTAAACTAAACGTTGGGTTTAAGAGTGGCTGTGATGTAAGACCTACACACGTGGTAAATATGGCAGTGTAACATAAAATGTGCATAAATAATGTAACAAATGTGTAAGTAAAAAATTATCCAATCACCTAACAATAAATAACACTTTATAATTTACTTACTCAATAAAATGGCGTGAACTATAAAATATATACTATCAGACTTTAAAAACTCACCTTTCATGCTTTTGAAATGTACGGTCTGCGCAGCCGCGGATGACGCCTGACTCACGTCACACCAACGTCAGTCGTCATCCACGACACGCCCCCTATCTGCGTCACATTACTCCTAACGAATATAGCGCCTAAACGAATATACATACACTGAATATTATCAAATACGCATATGAGGTAAGCTAATAATGACTACGTTAAACCCAAACCCCATGTGGGTTCTTGTTTGTTGGTACTGCGTTCTCCAGCTGCCGCGGCGACCCGATCATCTTCCTGGTGCTCCCTGACTTGTTCGGCCCCTCCAAAATCGCCCGAAGATCCTCCGGAGGGGCTATCGTCAAACTCTGCAAATTCGCCTCTTTCATCTCCGCCACCAACAGCTCCACTTGCTTCTTCTTCTCGATGATGGCGGTCTCCAAAGCCGCCACCTCTTTCTTCAGAGTTTCAGCCGTGAGGTGGTGCAACTCCGTGCTCTGCTTCGCCAACTCGATGTCGCGCTGCAACCTCTCCATTTCCGCCAAAAGACTCTTCTCGATCTGCTTCCTGGACTCGTTGCGCCGGGTGAGAGCCCGCTGCTCCATCTGCAGCTCGTCCATCACCAAACGAATTTTATTCTTACATTGCAACAGCTCCGTCTCGCAGTTGGCCAATTTCGACCTTAACAACGTTATTTCGGACTTGAGAGTCTTTTCTTGCTGTTTCACGATTTCGCACTCCTCTTCGACGTAGTTTAAAGCTTGAATCTGAAAAAGGCGTTGCTTGAACTAGCACGAACACGCATTATCCCCGCGACCAACAATGTCACGTGACATAATGGTATGGCGCCATCTATCAAATAGTAACCTAACTTTTCAAACGAATATTATATTTGTTTCCGCACGCTTCACCAAAGTTGGCCATGACAACTTTTTAGTGTCATTTATGTCAAACGTCAATTCAAAAACAAACCTGATCCTGGTTAACTTTCGTTGCGTTCGTGACCGCCGCCAGTTCTTGTTGAATGTACTCCAACTGCATCTGTTTTTCGCGTTCTTTGCTTTCCCAGAACACAATTTCGGCATCAAACTGAAACCTCATGTTAAAATCGTGCGATTACAATAATGCGGACTGACCTTGGTGAGATCAGCTTGTTGATTGGATAACTTCTCCCTCTGATAATTAATTAAAGCAATTAATTCCCTATATTGCGCGTTATATAGAACCGACTCCTGCAATTTATTCCTATGCTCCTTCTCGCTGTGAGGTTTATTAGAATCCTGGAGGATGTTCTTTTTGTATTTGTCATGGTTAACTGGTGGTGGCGGGTCCCTGTAAGGGGGCGGCGCCGGCGGATCTTTATACGGGGGTGCGATTCGTTGACTAGGAGAATCTGATTTATCAGACCCACTATAACTACTTTTCTTAGGCGAATTACTGGGAGAATTAGAGAGCGATTCCCGTACTTCCAAAGGTACAGTTTTGACGTGGGGGACGCCTTTGACCACCCCTACGTTATCAGAGTTGGTTACGTGGCTATTAAAAGTGAGAGATTTTTGTATGTCTGCGGTTTTATGGGGAGATTCTACGGTGATATTGGCTGAGGACTGGGACGACGCGGATAGGGGTTTTTTATTTACGGGGGTAGGGTTTTTGTTGGTGTCGTTCCACTGGAGGATAAATTGCACGTCGTTGGAGTACTCGCCCCACTTCATCAGGATCTACAAAAACTAGGTTAGTTCAGGTTTGTGTGTTTGTGTGGGGTACCTTCAAGGGGTTTTCGTTTGGAGCTAGCTGTCGTTCGTTATTCCGCCACCGTTCGATGAGGGTGAAGCGGCCCGATTTACCAGTGGCATGGGCGAGAGCGAACACCACGTCCTGAAAGCACAGTTAGTTTGGTTCTTCGAACAGTGCACAAAGTACCTGACAAGTGGTGGTTTCTGTCACTCCACACACTATCCTCTGGATTCCTTCGACCCAAACTTTTAACTCCATATTGCACTTATGTTATATACACATAATCTTAAATTGTGGTTTAATTCACAAATACGAGTCTCTGACATGTTACACATTGCACACTCACCTAATTTCATTTTTTAGCATTTTTACTAATTACTTAGAGTGAATTGCGTTTACGTAATGGGTTATTTAAGTATTGTAATAAAGGGCGCGGGCGGTACGAACTACCATTTTTGTACAATTATCACAAAATTATGGTGTTTTAAAAATAATCAATTATTTATAAACGTCAAAAATATTTTCGCTGTCACCTGTCAAGTCAACGTCCACTGCTACCAACGTAACAGTGCTCCTCCACAAAAAGCACCAACTTGATACGTAAAAATTCAATAATGACATTATCATTTAAAAAAATCCATAAGATTACTATTAAATAATGGGCTTTTCTAAGAACCACTGAGCTCTCAAACCATTATTGACTAATTTTATTTGTTAATGTAAATAGTTCACGGTTTTTTTGGTTACTAGGAATTTATGGGACTAATTAAAGAGTAACCTTCGTCGTATCGGGAAATCTAATCCAAGAAAGTAAATCTGTACATAAAAAAGCAACCGATAAATATAAGTTTGTCTAGGGTCATTTAGTCTGCATCGATAACAAAAAAACTTCATAATCTTATTGCGTGACAAATTTGCATTATAAAACAAATCGCCACCCGTGCATTCCTCATTCCGTGTTAAAATGGCAACAATTCCCCTTTTCAAACTAATAAACAACTTAAAAACTAATCAAACATTTTTACGCTCGAAATTTGGCGCCAAACGCGCCCCCTACCGGCACCTGTGCAAACCCGCCGTAACGTCCCAAATTGGCAATATTGCAATTTTTCGCTCCTCCAAAATTTCGATTCTTCAATTATTCTATGTTCCAATTGTTCAGTTTTTGGCCTTTCCAAATTTTCGATTTTACGATTTTCCAGTTTCTCGATTAATCAATTTTTTGACATTTCATTTCTTTATTTCTCGACTTTTCGATGTTTTGATTTCTTTTCGTCTCGATTTCCCAGTTTTGGAATCATTCAATATTTCTATTTTTGTTTTTTCGAATTTCTAATTATAGATTTGTCTGGGTTTTTCAGTATTTCCATTTTTAAAATTTTTGATTTTTGGATTTTTCAGTTCGCCTATTTTTCGATTTTTTAATTTTTCGATCTTTTGATTTAGCAGTTTTTTGCTTGTATGGTATGTCTATTTCTGGATTTCTCGATCTTTTGAAATTTCGAGTACTTGATGTTCCATTCTTTCATTTTTCCATTTTCCCGATTTCTCATTTTTTAGATATTTTAGTTTTAGGATTTTCCAATTTTTTGATTATTCAATTTCCCGTTTTTTTAAAATTTTTTATTTCTCGTTTGTGTTTCGATATTTGATTTATCAATTTTCCGATACATATTTCAATTTTACGATTTTTTAAATCCAGAATCGCCCATTGAAAAATAGCACTTTCTAAAAATTTCAAAAAATTCGAATTTCACACCGAATTTTTCGAAAATATTGCTCCGTGACACTAAACACGCTATATTTTTGGAACCGACTCTTCAATTTTTCGCTTCTTCAATTCTTGATCCAATTTTTCAATTCTTCAATTTTTCGCTCCTTCAATTTTTCTATTTTTCATTTTTTCGAATTTTTAATTATAGATTTTTCAAACGTTTGATGTTTGGATTCCTCGATCTTGTAATTTTTCGTTTTATGGGTTTTTCAATGTTTCAATTTTTAAAATTTTTGATTTTTGAATTTTTCAGTTTATCTATTTACCAATTTTTGCGTGTGTGCTACTTCTATTTCTCGATTTCTCGACTTCTCGATCTTCTGATATTTCGATTACTTGATGTTTCAGTTTTTCAATTTTTCAATTTCTCGATTTGTCAATTTTTCGATACATATATATTTCGGTTTTGGGATTTTTCCATTTTTTGATTCTTCAATTTCCCGGTTTTTTTAAATTTCAGTTTTCCGTTTATTTTTTCGTTATTCGATTTATCAATTTTCCGTTACATATTTAATTCAGTTTTACAATTTTTCAATTCCAGAGTCGCCCATTGAAATATCGCATATTTTAAAAATATCAAAAAACTCGAATTCCACACCGAATTTTTCGAAAATATTGCCCCGTGACCCTAAACACGCTATATTTTTGGAATCGATTCTGTAATTTCTCGATTAAATTTTTCGCTCCTCAATTTTGCATCTATTTAATTTTTCGCTTTTTCAATTTTTGCTACTCAATTTTTCGCCTCTTCAATTTTTCGATTCTTGAATTTTTCGATTTTTCAGTTTCTGGATTCTTCAATTGGTTTTTCAATGTTTGCATTTTTAAAATTTTGGAATTTTTGAGTTTTCAATTTCCCTATTTTCCAATATCGCAATTTTCAAAAAAATCTCGAAAAACTCGAATTTCAGTCCGAATATTTCGAAAATATTGCTCGGTTACCATAAACACGCTATATTTTTGGAATCACCACGTCAAAATCTATTTCCCTGAACTTTCCGAGAACTTTTAGACAACTTTTTCAAAAATGACAATTTCCAATACCCTTATACAAATTCCCACATATTTTCGATGATTTTCGGAATTTAACTAAATAGATTTTCTTGTAGATTTCGGACCGCAGAAGTCACTTTCGGCCTCATTTCTTCGATAACTCCAACCATTGTTCAAATCAGACCCAAAAAATCCCCGAGATTCTTTAAAAATTCAAACGACTCAATTCAAAAACAAAATACACGAGGTCTTCGAAATTGCTTCAAAATATGTACTTCAAAAACAAGATAATTGTAAAAAAAAAATACATCGAGAATTACTCAAACCACCAAATGTTATCTTGAAAAACTGATGATTTTTATATGTTTTTTATACTATAAATTTATCAATGAATTTTAAGTTTATAAGCAAGCAATAGGAATCCAACTTGCATTTCACAGCCAATAAAATGATTGATCAAAACGAAATAGGGGTGGGTGGTTGGGCGGGGCCACTTTTGACTTGTAATATTATTCAGTCGTATTTTGACAAATACTCAGCCTCTCCACCCGCCCTTTATTTTCTTGGAGAATATGTCATTCGCCAAAATCAGTCTTATCTTACCAAGTATTAGCCCCGCCCGCCCACCCTCTGTTTTCTTAAAGGGTATGTGATTTGCCAAAATTAGTCTTTTCTTACCAAGCACTAGCCCTGCCCTCTATTTCCGTAAAAAAAAGATTACTCCCTGACGATAAATACGCTATATTTTTGGAATCAGGACGTCGGGATCTGTCGCTCCGAGAGTGAATTGCGTTTACGTAATGGGTTATTTAAGTATTGTAATAAAGGGCGCGGGCGGTACGAACTACCATTTTTGTACAATTATCACAAAATTATGGTGTTTTAAAAATAATCAATTATTTATAAACGTCAAAAATATTTTCGCTGTCACCTGTCAAGTCAACGTCCACTGCTACCAACGTAACAGTGCTCCTCCACAAAAAGCACCAACTTGATACGTAAAAATTCAATAATGACATTTATTATCATTTAAAAAAATCCATAAGATTACTATTAAATAATGGGCTTTTCTAAGAACCACTGAGCTCTCAAACCATTATTGACTAATTTTATTTGTTAATGTAAATAGTTCACGGTTTTTTTGGTTACTAGGAATTTATGGGACTAATTAAAGAGTAACCTTCGTCGTATCGGGAAATCTGATCCAAGAAAGTAAATCTGTAGATAAAAAAGCAACCGATAAATATAAGTTTATGTCTGGTATGTCTAGGGTCATAAAGTCTGCATTGATAAAAAAACTTCATAATCTTATTGCGTGACAAATATGCATTATAAAACAAAATCGTTACCGTACATTCCTCATTCCGTGTTAAAATGGCAACAATTCCCCTTTCCAAACTAATAAACAACTTAAAAACTAATCAAACATTTTTACGCTCGAAATTTGGCGCCAAACGCGCCCCCTACCGGTACCTGTACAAAAGCAAACCCGCCGTGACGTCCCAAATTGGCGGGAATCGCAGCTTGCACTCATCTCAAAATTTCACGTGTGTTAAAACTCCGTTTTGTGCTCATTCAACCTTCACAATGTTCAGGTAACCAAAAATACTAACCCCCATTGTAATTGTTGTCCACTTATCAACCTCCAGCACGTCGTCAACCCCTAACCAAAAAAGCTCCACCCTCTTGGTCGACGACCGCAAAGAAAACATCCCCGACAACGTGCAAGACATCGGCGACACTCACATCGAGAAAGCCCCGCGGCCCCACGACGAGCACCAATACCTAAACCACATCAAACTCATCCTCGACAAAGGAATCAAAAAATGTGACCGGACCGGCGTGGGGACTTACTCGCTTTTTGGGGCGCAGATGCGCTACTCGTTGCGCGACAACGTGTTCCCCCTTTTGACCACAAAGCGCGTGTTTTGGCGCGGGGTGGTGGAAGAGCTGCTGTGGTTCATCAAGGGGTGCACGAACGCCAACGAGCTCAGAGATAAAGGTGTGCATATTTGGGACGCTAATAGCACGAGGGAGTTTCTGGACTCGGCGGGGCTGCAGCACCGCGAGGAGGGCGACTTGGGGCCGATTTACGGGTTCCAGTGGCGCCACTTCGGGGCGGAGTACAAGGGGATGCATGCCAGTTATAAGAATCAGGGGATTGATCAGTTGGCCCATGTCATCAATACCATTAAGAATAAGCCGAGCGATAGGAGGATCATCATGTGTGCCTGGAACCCGGTGGATATTCCAGAAATGGCGCTGCCGCCTTGTCATTGCTTGGTACAGTTTTTTGTGGCGGATGATGAGCTGTCGTGTTTGTTGTACCAGAGGTCGGCGGATATGGGGCTAGGGGTCCCTTTTAATATCGCTAGTTATGCACTGTTGACTTATATGATTGCGCACGTCACGGGATTGAAGGTGAGTAAATAGAGGGAAAGTGGTGATGACGTCACGCCAAATGACAAGAAAAAAAGTACAGCGGGTGTTATCACTTGTTCTAACACACAAAATAATTTTAGCCAGGAGAGTTCATCCACACTTTAGGCGACAGCCATGTGTATTTGAACCACGTTGAACCCTTGCAAGAACAACTAAAACGGGTCCCGAGAGCCTTCCCCACTCTGAATATTAAAAGACAAGTGGCTAACATTGAAGACTTCGTTTTCGACGATTTCGAGCTCGTTGGATATAATCCCCACCCGAAAATCAACATGCCCATGGCAGTTTAAAGCACCAAAAGCTAGAATCTATATTTTATAAGTCGTACCAAATATGTTATACATCATTTTTTATTTTATATGTATTGAATAAAATACTTGAAGGAGTTGGTTTTATTTTTTAAAAACACAAACTCGCTCTTCGTGCCGTGGTGATTTTATCACTGGATTTAGATCATCGTAGACGAACTTATGCAAGGTCTTGATCTTTACTCAACGTAAAAATGGTAGTCGCGAGTGCAAGGCCAGACTGTCTATCACAACACAATTTTTATGTACTCTAGACTAAACCGACTATTTACAAAACATAAAAACGACTTTATTTTTATTCTTTAACGTCTAATGCGACGTTAATATGCCCATTTTTGCTAAAATCTAGTTTCAAATTCATGTTGTCGCAATTACTGTTGTTGTTATCACGGAACAATCCCGACGACATGATGCCCCCTATTGTACTTATTCGCGTAATTCCTTCACTTGTGTAATCCGTGGGTAAGACCCTCTTGTATATTCGCCTCGCTGCGTATTGCAACAAAACCATTTCTCCCAACATTAACGTATTATGAATCACTGAAAAATAAATTTGGTTACCTAATTACTTAAAACATAGTAATTACGTACAGTTACCGTAGACCGCAGGCGTGATTGGAGCCCTACAAGGCAAAACATTCCCCCACACTAAAACCCGTGTCGCTAAACCTTGCAGTTTTGCCAAAACCAGTACCATTTGCAAGACGATGAACTTGGCAAGCATCATGTATTCATCACCCAGAAACCCTTTGAGCAGATTGATGGTCATGGCCATCCCCCAGATACCAAAAAGTATCGAAAGTATGATTATGGGTTGTAGGTACATATAGTTGACTTGATACAAACTCTCCCGTTCGGCCCACATTACCAAAAGCACTAAATACACAAGCCCTTGCACCACCGGTAGTTGCAGCACCAACAAACGCAGCCTCTGAATCGTGTTCCTACAAACAACAATTAAATTTGAATTTGCCGCGAACTTCTCTCATTGGTTGAATTTGTAATACGCATGCGCACTAGCTCAAAATCGGCTATCCGTACTTTGTCACGTCTATTGGAGGCAGGAAGAAACAGCAAGGCCAGCAGCAGCACGGGGACACCCGCAGACTCAACGTCCCGGGTTTGACTTTCCGGATTAGTTGGGCTTCGCCCCCGCAGTACGAGACGAAGAGGCACCAGAGCTGGTACATTCCGGCCATGAAGACGCCTTGGGTTATGGCTTCCGAGAGTAGATGGGCTCTGGGGACTAAAATTGCGAAGTACGTTGCAACCGCGACAACCTGTAGAGTCATAGTTGTTGTTATTTAACTCGTTGTGAAATAAACAGTTTACCGGGTAAACTCCAATGACGAAAGCGGAGTGAGCTTTCACTCTAGATGGCGAGTTCTTCATGATGTAACTGAGGGTGTCGATGAGCATTGCTAAGACTAGGAGGACGGCGAGAGTCCCGAGGGACACTAGGGTGATTCCGTAGACATTTGTGGCTAGAAAACGAGAAACTGGTTGTAAAAAGATGTCGACATATAATTTCTGAAAAAAAATGGAGTTTTTTGCTTCTGGTTCCAAAATTTGTGAAAACTGTGTCATAGCGATTGGAAAGGCAAGTGCAATGTGGGTCTCTTGCATTATATTGCATAATGTTACAATAATTCTTGGTATTAAAATTTAATGATGAGTCGTTGGCATACTATTTTGAAAGAAATCGAATCATTCAATGACTTAAAAAAAAAAGATGGTACAAAATAATATGCAGGATAAAAAAATTGGTGTAACTTTTCAGACCGACTATTATTTTTACTATGCGTGTAACAATCACAAAAGTGAAACAGTTACAAAATCTACCAATTTGTTTAATCTTATTCCGCTTCACTGACCAAAACTCTTATTAAATAATTCAAGTTTGTTTTGCCCGAGGCAAGGTAAAGATTCCTTGATTAAAATTTCTCTCAAGAATGTGAAAGTAAACATCTCTTGATGTAATTCAAAAAAATTATAATTCATTAACTTCCTGCTCCAGATGACGACTCCGCGTTGTTTACTTCGCATGTGACCTCAACACTGTACAGTCGTACGTAAATTACAATTACACAAGACTTCGCGCCACCTTAATCACCGTAATGACTTATCTTCACGTATTACTCAAACTTCAAAGAACCTCTAATATTTACTAGAATCTATATGTAAATACAAACCTTGTATTTGTATATTAAGTACACGGCGTAGAAAGTGCGACATGCAATACCTATTATTGCTTCATTTTAGGAAGTCAGTTGATATTGAAAAAACAACGAAACGCTTAATGTCACAATGGAAATGCGTCCTGAAATTTCAGTGGCATCTTCAACCGCTGTTTTCTTTTACGTAATCTCGCGTCTGAAGAACGCGGCAGATCTGGTTTATGTAAGCACGTGGTTCAACAGGACGTAAAAAAGACGCGATAAATGTAGCACGACCGGAGAAAACAAGGTGAAAGTCAAAAAGTCCAAGAAAACTGAAACGCTTTTGATTTCGTACATCTTGCATAATCGGGGATTTTGAGCGCTCGATTACTTTAAGTAAAATTTTTTACCAATTGTGGTAAAAGTAGAGCACGGAGGAAGTGTATATCTAAGTCGTTGCAGCACTCGTTATCAATTAAGAATTTGTTAAAGGTGTAATTGTTTCCACATACCTGATAAGTACTGTGGTATCGAAGGTATAGCCCCCGATTCGCACGTACTTTGATTTCTATTTACAATATCCATTTTTACACTTTTCACACACAATTATTCACTTCCACGGATTCATGTTCGATTGATTTTTTTTCTTTGTCGTACACTTATTATTCTGCTTTAGTTTTGCGTTTACGTGCAGGGACTGGTCGTTCACTGGACATTCCACCAGCTGAAATGCATCTGAGAGGGGATTCGTACCTTAACTTTCTTTGGTTGCAAATATTAAGCAACTTATCAAAATTAAAGCGCTGGGGGAAATAAATACTATGTGGTGCCGCTGAAACTGGTTTAGTTAACATACTTTTATTTTATTGACCATTTATGTCCCTGTCAATAAATTTCATGTATTAAGAATATTGGAAAAACATCAAATTCAGTTTGTGAGTAATCAAACGAATAAAAGTGCCAAGGGAATGCATTTTTACTGGAGGTTTAACAACATTGTGCAAACTTCTGTTCCGTCCGTCTGTCTGTTGACGATTCTAGATATTAACATGAAAGAAAAGGGATTTAATTTTTATTCAAAGCGATAATTTTTTATAGTTGTTTATTTATATTGTATATAATAAAATACTTAAACAATCTGTGGAACCATTTATGCAGTAGATTTTAGAAAGACGTCATCAATTTTTTGAGGAAATTAATAAATAATTAAAAGATAAACAAAAAATAAACACAAGTGGGGGGCCATATTTACTTTAGGTTTACTCTGTTTCCAACTGAAACTCATTAGTACCCAATTTGTTTTTTACACGATAACATTTTAACACTTTTGGCTATATTTGGAACTTTTACGACAAACGCAAAAACATGTCTTAAAGTGGTAGTCGATGTGAGTCAAGTTGTTTACTACACTACTCAAGCAAGACCTGAAGGACACGTGTAAGTCGTTTAGAAAAAATAAAAAAAGTCAGTGTCCTAACGTGGAGCCTTGACAACAAAAATTGCATTGTAATTTTCGCTCCAAAACTTTGGCGCTGTTTTTGCAGAAGCGGAAAGTTTGTCCACAAATTCTCGGACTTTGTCAACGAACTTATTTTTCTGTGTACACTAAAAAAATTATATTAATAATAATAATCAAGCGTCTTTGCACCTAACGACGCACTCCGATTAAGAAATACAAGTAAAAATAGTTAATCTTATCGGCAATTTGAGTTTTGAAAAATCCAAGATAATATCTTGTATTAAAGAGAAGTGTTAACTTTGGTCCGACATATATAGGTACCTCCTACGAACCATTTTGTAAACATTTCAAGATTAAGAGTATCTAAAGGTGAGTAAACACCTAAGTTTCTCAATTCATTCGATTGATAAGATAAATCAGTAGAAGTTCCTGTCACATTTCCCACTAACGCGCCGAATTCTCCAAGTTTTCATTAGGTGAGTACAAACCGCTTTAAACATCATCGAAAAGTGCACAGCTTCACGTTTTCACTCTGTTCTTCGTCCGCGTTTTCGCGGAATCGTCAAAATAACAAAATGTTTTCCAAATGGGCGATAAAGTGTTATTCAAGTATTGCATTGTGTGACATTATTTTATCATAAAAAATATAACTGTATCAGATTGTCGGAGTTCTCGTCAAAATAACAATAGACACATGTAATCAAATCGTAGATTAGGTAACACAATTTTTCTAGGTAATTTTTAATAATAGTACTCGTTGTCTAATTATACAAACAATCTAAAATTATGTCGCACATCGTTTTCCACTAACTTAGTTTTTATATACTTCGTTCGTTTTCAAAAGCAGACGTTTCACTCATACAAATCATGCACTTAACTATACAGAAAGCATATTCTTTTGATCTTTAAGTGTACTTTAAGACTTTAGTTATTTCGTAATACGCACCTTATGGAAATTTAATAAACCTTTTAACTTTTAGTTTAAACTTTGTAAACGTCACTTTTAAAACTAAATGAAGTGTACCTAGTTGGACCCAAAAAAAAAAATAAATCTTATCGCTGCATTTGTTGCAGGAGATAAAATGATCCATATTGTGCTCCTAATCCTGGTCTTGCTGACTGAAACCCACGCCGGTTGTCCCCTAATATGCAACTGCACCGAGAATTCCATAAACTGCGTCTCCAAAAACCTGGAGAAAGTCCCTTCTTTCGAAAGCCTGGATAACAACCCCCTCATAATCGACTTATCCGGAAACTCCATATCCCTCATCGGCATGGACCACTTCAGCTTCGATAAAAGCGAGGAAGTCAAAGAAGTTTTCTTGAACAACTCGGGAGTTGTAGCAATCGAAGAAGCGGCGTTCGAAGAACTCGAAAACTTGCAAGAACTTTACTTAAGCGACAATTTGCTGAACGCAGTACCTGAAAATTTCCTCATACACAACGAGAACATGGTTTTGCTGGATTTGTCGACTAACTATTTCACCGACATGCCGAAAATTAAGTCGAAGAGTTTGGAAGTCTTCACGATTGCGAGTTCGGGGGTTTCGAACATACCCAACGGCGCTTTGGACGGGTTACCGAATCTGCGCATACTTTTACTTTCGCAGAATAATCTGAAAACCATCAATCCTGTAATCTTTGACCGCATGAGCAATCTTTTTTTTATTAGCGTGGCGTTTAACCCGTGGGACTGTAACTGTAAGACAATAAAGTTGTTTGATTACTTGATGGAGAAGAGGTTCGTTGATTTGACGGAAACCGTTCAGTGTAGGAACGAAAATAGGATGTTCGTGGATATTTATAGAGAAGATGGGGTAGTGGCGGCGTTTAAGGACCAGTGTGATAATTTTGTTATTATGGCAGACAGCGAGGAACCGAAAGAAATGGAAATTTCGCTGAAAAATCTGGATGTTGGGGATTCGGAAGTTCTGACTACTGCTACAAGCGAAAAATTGTCTGAAGAACCCGCTCCTGATATATATTTCAGTGACTTTTCCTACATTGTAATTTTAGGGATTTCAGTTTTCCTAAGTTTGCTCACGGGTGGAGTGTGCGGGAGTTACCTCACCTTCAGGTATATGAAACGAAACATAACACCGACCGAAAGTACAAAAGAACTACTCTGCAGACTTGAAGACAATGTTGTAAGATACAGCTTCTGATCATATTTCAGTGTTATTTTTTGTGTAAATAGTATTTATATTCTCTTTTTTGGGACAAATTAAAAATTTAACTGTTTTAAGTTATGTCTGAAATCCACTACCTGGGCAGTTGCTAATAAAACTAACTTTTCACTACTATAGCGTTTAATTTACTCTACAATCACTAATTTATTGATCATTTTCGTAATCAGCGGGATTTTTTCGCATTAGCCTCATGTGTTCCTTTTCCACTTGATCGTAGACCACGTATCCGATGGCCAGTGCTGGAAATTTACGTTTTATTTGGCTCTAAAGTGGACAAGGGGACTTACGGGGCACAACATATAGAATTTCTTCTCGAATGCGTCTGAGGGTGTTGGGAATTCCGTGTGAGAACAATCCAGAGAAGGCTTTAAGCTCGAATGGGGACAACCTGTAGGTGATGATGCCCCGAAGTTTGTACAACTGGCCAAAACCGTGCCCCATTGCTACTAGGACTAAAAGTGAGGTTATATTACATAATCACCAGAAACTTGTGAGTTGTACGTGCGCCAATATTAAAAATAAGACACTTGCTGTGGCTACATAGTACGAAAATACTTACATTTAGAGCAATTTACTTGGAATAAAAATCGATTTGTGCTAAATTTGACGTTAAAACTTAACCTAATTTGGCTTGAGTGACTTTGACACTTGACAGTTAACAATGACGGATCATGTATCAAACAAAACTTAAGAGGGCAACTGCAACTGCGTTAGTCGCTGTGTTAACTAGATGTCGCCTCTTTATCAAATAACAAACGACAATTGAAAAAATTTCAAAACATTAAAAAAAAATCAACTCTTTATTTAGATCAGTTTTTACTATTATAAACATCGTTAATATTCAATCCGAAACGGGTAGTGCAGGTGGTCCATGAAAGCCCTCATCGTGCATATCCTATTATTCCAGTTACATGAATCCAAATACACAACATCCTCAGGTTCCAATTGAAAGTCAAAAATATCAATATATTCACTAATCCTGAGGTTCGATACAGATTTAGGCACAACGCACAACCCTAAAGAAACCTACCGCAACAATATCTACATAGATAACAAACGCAAATACTCACAAGATAATTCAGAACGACTTGAGCGGCAGATTTGTTGTATTTGCGCCCGATTTGGTGAATGTTGTCATCTAAAACCGTGGTTTCGGGAAATATTAGAGTGCCAGGCTGATCGCTGAGTCCGAAGGGGTAGTAAGCCGACACAACAATATTGCGTTCTTTGCAGAACTGTATTAGTTTTTTTTGGCTGAATTGTGGGTGTACTTCGATCTGGTTGATCACGGGCTTGTACTCAGCGTGGCGTAGGATGCGATCTATTTGTTCGCTGTTGAAGTTGGCCAGACCTATGCTCCTGGTGTAGCCACACCTGAGGCAGTCTTCCATCCCTTTCCACGTTTCTAGGTAGTCGACGTCGCTGTAGGCCTCCTGGCCGTCGCCTAACGGGACAGTCTTGGAAGTCTCCTACACTATTAGTGTTAATTTTTCGAACGTTCAGAAATAACTTACGTTGAACCCGATGGGCCAGTGGATTAAGTACAAGTCCACGTAACTGAGCTTCATGTTTTTCAAGCTAAGTTTCAGCTTCTCCATGACTTTTTTTCTTCGGTGGAAGTTGTTCCATAATTTGGTCGTGATGAAAAGGTCTTCTCGCTTGATGACGTTTTCTTTGATTTTTGCTTTGATCGCTTTTCCGACTGATTTTTCGGTTCTGTGGATCCAGGCGCAGTCGAAGTGACGGTAGCCCGCGTCTATGGCGAATTTGACGATATTTTCTACATCATCTGGCTTAGGGAGCTTAGGATTAAATGGTGATTTGGTTACTTTGTACGTTCCTAAACCAATAACAGGAATGTAAAAGCCGTCGTTAAGTCGGATCGCCTTAGACATCTTACATTTTTCTACACGGATATTAGAAAAAAACGAACAGGTGATAACTTTTTATCTGGACACTAATCTGATTATTATCGTAATTAACTCTCGGAATTGTTGTTACTTGTTTCTATAGAACTTTAAATCCACTATCACTTTTCATGACTATTGATAAATACGAGCGCACTTTTCCATTAGTCAGGCTGAAGATATATAGCAGATGTTTATCTGCGACGAAGATATTTTTTTTATTAAACATGCTTTTTACAAATAAGAGTGCATTTAAAGTTCAAAGACTCCGTCTGCGTAAATGAAAAACAGTCCCGAACAATTGTTTATTAGCAATAGGGACGAACTTGATTAACAATAAAAAACTGTAGTGTGGGTGCGAGGAAAACTCGCTCATGGTACCAACTCTCTGGTTCTTGTCTTGTTGTTTTCGCTAATGTGCGGCTTGTGCACAGACCTTGGGACCACAGATATCCCCAAAGAAACCTACAATAGCACTTTGTGAAATAAACAACCTGTAAGAAATTATTACCAAGTAGTTCAAGACCACTTGAGCTGCACTCTTTTTGTATTTTTCGCCTATTTGTATCACTTTCGGGTCCAACATCGTAGGCGTTGGACCACCGGAGGTCCCGTGGTGGGCGCTGCGTCCCAGAGGGGCGTAACCAGTGACTACAATTTCATGTTCTTTACAAAATTTAATCAGATCTTTTTGGTTTAAGTTTGGAGTGACCTCCACCTGGTTGACCACAGGTTTAATTTTGCAGTGGTCCAGCAAGCGAGTGATTTGTTGTGGGTTGAAATTCGATACGCCGATGTTCTTCGCCAGACCCTGCTTGACGCAGTTTTCCATGCCTTCCCACGTTTCCAAGTAGTCGACGTTACTGTAAGATTTCTCGGGGTGGTGGGTTGGGCACAAGGGTGCGTTTTCCTGCGATTGAACTTTGATTTCAACCTTATCGTGAGATAAGATACGAAACAAATTGTTGAATGATGATAACAATCAACTGACCGTGAAAATTTCGCATTGAATTTGTAAGACGAAATTTAATGTGATAAATATCGCTTAAACATAAACAGTGACTTTTTTTGACCTATCCAACGTTACGTAATCAACATTAAGGGTCATTTTGCTTCAGTTTTAAGCTGTCACTTCTCGGTATTCTTTGATACTCTAGCACAAATTCTTTCTATACTGACCTTAAACCCAAAGGGCCAGTTTATGAGGTACAAGTCAACATAATGCAGCCCTAACAAAAAAAAATGAAAAATTGAAAAATTGCAAATCGAAAAATTCAAGAAACGAGAAACTGAAAAACATAAAATCGAAAAATTGAAAAATCGAATAAGTGAAAAAATAACAAAAATAAGAAACCCAAAAATTTGCAAAATATAAAAATTGAAAAAATCAAAAGTTGGAAAATTAAAATTTTAAACTTCAAAACTTGAAAAATTGCAAATCGAAAAACTGAAGAAAAAAAAAGAAAAATTCAAGCAAAAAATCGAAGCAAGGGAAGTTCTGTCGAAACAATTTTCGAGAGAATTTTTATATATTCAAGGTTATAGATTTTGACGTGCTGATTCCAAAAATATAGCGTGTTTAGGGTCACGGGGCAATCTTTTCGAAATATGCGACGTGAAATCCGAATTTTTTTAATTTTTTTAAAATTGAGATATTTCAGTTGGCGATTCTGGAAAACTAGTTAGAGTTAAAAATAGAATTCGCAAAATCAAATCTTATACTTTTTTGAAAAGTCTTCTTTCCCTTCGATCAATTTTTTGATATTAGAATTTTTCGTTTTTCCTTTTCGTCGATTTTAAATTTTTAATATTACAATTTTTCATTTCTTCATTTTCTTTCATTTTCAGTTTTTCAATTTTTCCATTTTACAATTTTTCATTTTTGGATTTTTCAGATTCTCGTTTTTATTTTTCGATTTTTCAATTTTTCAAGTTCTTGATTTTTGTTTTTCATATGCTCGGTTTTTTAATTTTCATTTTCTTGGTTTCATATCACAATTTTTCCTTTTTACAATTCCTCTATTTTTTCAATATGTCTTTCGATTTTAATATTTTAAAATTGAAAAATCAAAAACTGAATAATTAAAAATTGTAAACTGGTGAAATTCTTTCAAAGCCAATAAGAATGAATGATGGAAACGTAATAGGGTTGGGTGTACTAGGCCCGCCCACCCGCCCTCTATCTTAGAGGATCTGTGATTTGCTAAAATCCATCTTACCTTAGCAAGTATTAACAAAAAAAATTGAAAAATTGCAAATCGAAAAATTGAAGAAACGAAAAATTGAAAAATCCAAAAAGTGATAAATTAAAAATTGAAAACTCGAAAAATTGCGAATAAAAAAATTGCAAAATCTGAAAACTGAAACATCCAAAAATTGGAAAATAGAAAACTAAAAAATTTAAACATGAAAACTCGAAGAGTCGCATATCTTAAAAACGAAAAAACAAAAAGAAATGAAAAATTGAAAAACTGCAAATCGAAAAATTGAAGAAACGAAAAACTGAAAAAAATAAAAATGCAAAAACAAAAAATAAAATCGAAACACTGAAAAATCGAATAAGTGAAAAAATAACGAAAATAATAAATCGAAAAATTAAAAAATATAAAAATGGAAAAAATCAAAAGTTAGAAAATTGAAAATTTTAAGCTTGAAACTCGAAAAATTGAAGAAAAAAAAATGAAACTTTATTTTTTATTTTATATTTTTTTTTTTTCATAAGCAAGTAGTAGCTCCGTCCACCGATCCCCTCTTTATTCCAGTGACTACTCTTAATATTATTCAATATTATTTTCGCAAGTACTAGCCCCACCCACCCACCGTATATATTCTTAGAGGGTATGCGATTTGCCAAAATTAGTTTTATCTTAGAATGTACTAGGCCCGCCCACCCGCCCTTTATCTTTTTACACGACATGTGATTTGCTAAAATCAGTTTTATCTTAGTAAGTACTAACCAAAAAAATTAAAAATTAAAAAAATACGAATCGAAAAATTGAAGAAATTAAAAATTTTAAAAATTAAAAATTGAAAACTCGAGAAACTGCAAATAAAAAAAAATGCAAAATATGAAAACTGAAATATCCAAAAATTAGACAGTCGAAAAACTGAAGAAACGAAAAACCGAAAAATCCAGAAAGTGAGAAATTAAAAATTGAAAACTGGTGAAATTCTTTCTTCAGAGCCAATAAGAGTGAATGATGAAAACGGAATAAGGGTGGGTGGGAGGGGCTTCTTTTTACTTTGTTTTAAATCTTAGATTGCACCGCTTATTAAAATAGAATTCAATTTACATTTTACAGTAAATAAAATAAGTCAGTCTATTTTCTCATAGGGAATGGGAATTGTCAAAATTTGTTTTATCTTACCATGTACTAGGCCCGCCCACCCGCCCTCTATCTTCTTATAGGATATGTGATTTGCTAAAATCAGTTAGCAAGTACTAAGAAAAAAAAAAAATGAAAAATTGTAATTCGAAAAATAGAAGAAACGAGAAACTGAAAAAATTAAAATTGAAAAACCAAAAAATAAAATCGAAACACTGAAAAATCGAATAAGTGAAAAAATAATGAAAATAAAATACCGAAAAATTGCAAAATATAAAAACTGAAAAATCAAAAGTTGGAAAATAAAAATTTTAAACCTGAAAACTCGAAAAACTCCAAATTGAAAAAGTGAAGGAAAGAAATGAAAAATTAAAGCAAAAAATCGAGGCGAGGAAAGTTCTGTCGCAATAATTAATTCATTAATTAGTTAAAATATA